TGATGCTGCCAAAGTATGTTTTATTTTTTTCTGCCTTTTGTTTTATTTTTTTGCAAGAAATACTTGTTATATTACCTTGTATTTTTTTTTCAAGAAAAAAAAAAATTGTTGTATTATATTTTTTATCTTTATCTTGATTATTTTTTATTTTTTCTATTTTTTTACAACAGTATTTTCTGCCTTTGTTTATTTTTTTGACAACAAAAATAAACGAGGACGCCCTCTAAAATTCGAACTCTAGACGTCCACCGAAAAATCGGAATTGTTAACCAACACCGCCACATTGCCTAATCTGATTTTATTAGCTTTTATAAATTCAATCGTCTTACTTTAATGATTTTTTGTGGGAATTATCCCAAATCGAAGGATGAGCCTCGCTTTGTTCTCTATAAATTCCTGTGGAATAAATATCGCATTACGCGTGTAGAAAAGTGAGGGGGCAGACATGTGAGGTGAGTTACCACGTGTAGATATGTCGGACGATTTTTAAGTGCCACGTGTTGCTCTTGTGAGGCGGCCACGTGTAAACCCAAAAATTACTAGAATGTCCACGTTTTTTTTGTGAGACTCACGATTCCCGGTTTTTTCATGGAAGCAGCTCGGTACCAGATGATTCCCGAGTTAAACCGGACGAGTCCGGCTCTACTCGACGAGTGTTCAAACCCTGGTTTTAAGCTTCATCTCATCTTATATTCCCACCCTATAAATTCTTATTTAATTTTGAAACACTGCTTATACGTGATACATATAAGTTAAGAGAATTTCGACAAATTTAGGGATAAAGTCTCTAACAGCTAGGACAGTGCACTATAATCTTGCTTCTCAAAAATGTGGTGGAACACTTTTCTCTGCCGTTCATCAATTGATTAAACCGTGATTATACAACAGCTTATGGAACTCTCGCAACCCATTGGACGGTCATAAATTGTTGCATAAAACACCATCGACTTTCTTTAGGGGAAGACTTGCAATGAGGTCGATATAGTTTTAAATAGTGATTCACACCATCCCAAGTGATGGATGCGACGGACAAAATAAAGCTAGTCTCAAATCCTTTTTCCGAAAGCATGACCCTAAAATCAATTTCCCACATCGATAATAAAAATTGAAATAAAAAAATGATTGCAAAGTTATGAATACTTATTTTTAAGATAAAATGAACAGTGTAGATAATTTGTTATATTATATTTAGAGTTTGAAATTTTTTTTTTCCCCACAACCATGATGCTCAAGTCGAGATGATCGATATAAAGATTTTCTAATGTTTGATTTACAAATTTTTATGAGTTATGAGGTGGGGATTTACTTATTTTGATAGGGCTAAAGTCTTATAAAACGATTTTTCTTAAAAAATAGAATACCCTGGATTTTGGATTAGTCTTTTGAAAATTAACAATCCCTATCGGAAATCATTGATTTAGAATGAGAATCCATTTAGACTGACGGCGTTTCTTTTCCAAACTAGGAATAAGTCTAATTCCTATGGACTGTTTCTATAAGGGAAACATGCTCTCAAGATTTGATAGACTGCTAATTTCCGAACATTTTATTTATTATTTATTTTTTTAATTATCTTTATTTCTATGGACTGATTATTACACTTGAGTGTCAACTTCGATTCCTGATCATCACCAGTTTTTTTCATACAATTGGTTCGCCTACGTCGCTCCGATTTGATACAAGTGGAGCTCCTCCTTGCACCTTTAGCGCTTCCTGAACAACTAGCTCTCTCCGGCCTCCCTCGATCAATGATCCCACTTTCGACTCCAACCAACTCGTCACCTTTCCTTTCAGCTCTCACTCCTGTCAAGCTTGAACTCCAATCTTGCCTATCGACCAACTTGCGTTTTGCCTTTCCCTTTGCTGATTCGGGTTTTTAAAAACTAGTTTTGAATGGAGGAACAAGAAACTATAAAATTTGACATATGAAAACTCAGGTTATTGCCGATCTATGTAAAATGATATAAAATAGAGAAAATTACACCCATATATCCTAGATAACAATTATTACAAATTTTTCCCATAAAAATTTGTATTCACCCTCTCCTCAGCAGCCCCCCCCCCCCGGCCTTTCTTTTATTTTTATTTTTTCTAAATACCCCAGCTTTGAAGGTCTACGTGGCAACGCTTTTGCTCGAAATAGTGAAGAATTCATTTTGCTTTGACTTTCAAGTTCCTAAGGGAACTTCAAACCGTTAAGATATGAATATTGAGATTTGTAATTTGGTGATCTTGAAGATCCGAAATCAATTAAGTCAATAATTTATTTTCACTTGGGACTTGAAACTCAAGATTTTAGCTTATTTCTTTAACACTTTAGAACTTAAGGTCTGAAATGGAAGTATTTTTTGGGGACGTTAAAAGTGAATAAAAATAGGTATATATATGTTAAATACGAAAATTTGGGATAAAAACTATAATAATAGATATCAAGGAGGCTATAAGCGTAATTTATTTGAAGTTATGGTGCCCTTATTAAACACTATGATTATAGATTCAAAGAGTTCTCGAGTAGATTTGGTTTATTTTATTGTTCTTATAAAAATAAGGGATTGTATACCTTGAGATTATTTACCTTTAATACAAGGTGGTCACAATTTTTTACAATCATTGGATGTGAAATTTGATAGCTTGGATGTGTCATAAAGTTTGAAAAATATTTTTTTTTAAGTTTGAGCTTAGTTAATGAAATAATTATAGTTACCGAATTTCACATCCAATAGTCAAGATTAATGTGACCACCTTGTGTCAAAGATAAACGGTCTCATTCTATACTTTTCCTAAAACTAATAAGTAGGAACGTAACTTTTGAAGTTCTCGCCACTTATTTTTTCTTCTCAAAATTTCAAAATCAATCTCAATCTCTCTCTCATCTCTACAATCTACTTACAGCAAAAATCTATTTGATCGATTATCTCATAGAAAGTTTATATAGGACCTAGGCCTTACATCATAATACAAAGGTGCGCTTTTCTAAAGGAAAATGCATTTTCTGCGCAAAAAAATCTTCATATTTATTATCTCACCTAAAAAATAGTTGATCTTATAACAAAGTAAATGAACAGCCTGTTATCAAGATTTCCATATTTGCCAAAGTGCACCGCTCTTTCACGGTCTATTTGATAGCAATCAAATATCCTGATATCCCAGGATATTATAGTATCTAATACGATTCTAATTCTAAAAGTTCGTGGCATGGGAGGCATGTATCCTACTAAGATATATCCAAATAAATCCCTCATAATTTTTTTTTTTGACAAAATTACTTTCTTTTATTCATCAATCATAAAAATACAACATTTCAAGAAAAATGTATATAAAAAACAGGAAAAGAAAGCCGCTCCACTCTACCCTTTGCTAATCCATCAGCAACGTGATTTGCCTCCTTGTAAACATGCCGGAAAAAAAATAGCGAAGCACATTTGTCCATTATATTCATCCTCTTCCTTTTTAGGTGCCAAGGAGGCTTTAGAAACATAATTACACCAATTGATAATATTGAATGAATCACCTTAAAAAAATGCATAGGATCTTAAAACCCCTATTAATCCGCTGTTTCACTCCTTGTTCTAGTGCTTCTAATTCTGCTCTATTTGTTGTTACTACACCACATGGACCCATATAGCAATAAATGATATCCCCAATTGAATTCCTCAAAATTCCTCCACACCTCGAACGCCTCGGATTAGTCATTGAGCTACTATCAAAATTTAATTTCGAACTCCACAAGCTCGGAACGACCACCACTTTCTCGGTCTCACTTTCATCATTTTTTCACTAACAAAATTCTGCATACTCACTTTTGAAATTCTAATAGACCCCTTATTTCTTAATCTCTGCAGATTTTACTCGGACTTCAATTTTTGGGGATACTAGAAATTTCTAGTGAAGATTACAAAAAACCCCAATACCATATTTTTTATGCAACTTACCCCCAATCTAACTTTTTCTTTCACTTTTTTCCTCAACAAACTTTCTATACAATACCTCCAAAAGGAAAAAATTCATTTTTTTAAAACAAAAATGCCATTCTGGTACACAAAAATAATTTTGGCCAGATTTTACGTTGATATTTTGGACCCCAGAGCGTACCGCCCTAAAGTAACTACTTGTCCGAAACTGAATAATGCCGGACCCCTTTTACATAGTGATGGAACCGTGAAATCCATTAACATCTACTGCCAGATCACCCTTTGCAATTAATCGGACCGCATTTTATACAGTACCGGACCACACTTTATACAGTGCCAAAACCCTACTGCAGTACCGTATTTTACACTATATTGGAGCTCTACTACCGAACCGCACTTTACACAGTGTTGGAGCCTGCCGTATTTTACACTATGTTGGAGCTCTACTACCGGATCGCACTTTACACAGTGTTGGAGCCTGCCGGATCGCACTATACACAGTGCCGAACCACCGATTTTGGTGGGATAGAAGAGAGAAACGTGGTAAGATAAAAGGAACGGAAAGTAGTTTAAATATTTTGATTGGGGGTATTTGCAAAGTATATTTTGGAGAGAAAAATGGGAGAAAAAGTTAAGTTGCAATAAGTTGCATAGTATAATCTTAATTTTCCCAAATTTCTGTCGGGCTCCACGCAATTGGCCCTCTCACCTCTCCGTTTCTCCTCAAATAAGACACCCCTCCTCGCTCTCTCTCTCTCTTCCTGCCCTTTCATCTGTAAACCTATTTACACTCTCCTTCTCTCTCCTCACTCAACCATTCCTCCATGGTGAAATTAGGGTTTCAAGGACTTTCTGCCTCATCTATGAGAGCCAGAACCCAACAATTGAAAAATTACAACGATATTGCTTCGATCCAAAACTGATCGCACATTCTTTTCATCATCTTTCATGGCTCCTACCAAATTATCGACCTTTGGTTTTTGCCTCTATTGGCCAATTCGAAGCTTAGCCAAAAGCTCTATGATGTTCCATTCCATGGCTTCCAATCTTGCCTGTACTTCTGATATCGTAACAATTAATGGCACCGTGGGTTCACCCAACACCCTTGTCTTAACAAGGAGGCCACAGTTATGGAGATTCAAGTGCCTGCAACTGTTCTTTGCAGAGAGAGTTTTTGGAGAAATAGGGTGGCGAGAGAGTGACGATAAACATCGGGGTACCAACTCCAATTTCGACGATATTAGTTTCCATTTTACCCAACAAAACTTTCACCATGCTTGCTTTCTTTGTAGCTATGGGGACTAGATCCTCAGCATATCTGAGCCAATATGGACTATGTTTTCCTCCTTTATGGCCATGGCCAGAGCCAAATTAGAGAGAGAAAGACGGTATGGTGTGATAACATTGCTTGTAATTGTATTTATTTTTATATAAAAGGCAATCAAACAAGTACATAAGAATACATATCCCTATATAATATATAATTTTTATGAGTAATGATCCTAAAAGACCCTCCTACAACCATGTAGGGACGCTAAAGGATCACTGTTATACATATCTGAAAAAGTTATCACATAGGTGTGGAACTTGACTTTTTCAGAGAACTATATCAAATTTATTGGTGATCCGTTTTGGTCTTACTCACATGGGTGTAGGAGGGGGAGGGTCTCACAAAATCATTATCCAATTTTATGTAGCGGTAGTTTTATTCAGATTTTTTAAAATTTAAATAATTACATGTTCATCCTTTACGAAAAAAAAAATTATATAAGGGTGAGGCCCTAACAATCAAATTAAGGCGCACCTAAAAATTTCATTAAAAAAAGTTGTTTTGATACTAAAAACCCTAAAATTAGATCATCTAGACATCAAGATATATGGACATGAGAAAAAATAAAATTGAAGTCTTGAAAATAGTGTCTTATAATGTATTATCTAGACCGTCAATTTTTTAGATTTTCAACTGCTCATAGATCTGCTCGATCTACATTATTTTTGAACTTTAAATTATGTAATTAGAGATGACAATAAATTTTTCAAACCATCATAAATATTTATAATACTGAAACGACATTATTTAAACATGTGCCCTACTTTGATTGTTTAGGGCCCAGGCCTTGTACAACTGACGCCCTAAAAGGAAATAGATTTTCAGGCCAGTAGAAGATTCTGACATTGAAACTGCATTATTTGAAATAAGGTCACATGCCAAACACAGCCTTATCCAAATACGACCAATAACGTAGGTCACCCCATGATTATGTAGACGAAACACGAGCCAAAAAAGGAAAGATTGAGAGGGAATTTAGAAAGGACTTACAAATATTGATTTTTTTGAAAAAAAATAAATTGTTTAAGTTATTTAGCTAATAAAAAAAACTTTAAAAAATACAAGCTAAAAATTTAAATATTCACAAAAATAACATTAAAATGAAAATCGAAATTCAAAAAATCTAAAATGAAAATAGAAATTCCAAAAAGAAAATAAGAGAAAAAAAGGACGAGTGTAAAATTTTAATGTGGGGACATTTGTTAATACCCAAAAAATATTACGATAATTTCCTTTTCTATTATTTTTTTAGGTTTTTATAAATCTCACTTTTAATAAACATTTTCATTCTAATTAGCTCTTGGGCATTCAAAAACAAGCTGTCAGATCTTGAATGTAGATTACTAAATAAATTTGCCATTAATAATTAACAAATATATGGTGTGAAAAGATTGCAATATCCAATTATAATGGTCAAAATTCATTATAAAATATATATAAATAGCAAGTTACTATTTTTATCGCTAAAAATAGATATTTCCCACTATTTTCTCACTCGGCTTTACTCGGAATGATTGACATATAAATAGTAAATTTTGTTCAAACGTGACTTATGTGCTCCTTTCACCCCTCTTTTTTTCCAGTCAATCTCAAAACTCTCCCAAGGAGGTGCAGCTGCGAGTGGTAGGCTCTTTCTCTCTCTCTCTCTCTCTACAAAAGGACAGAAATGGGTACCTTGAGTTTAATGGAGGTTGACACCACTTCCATGTCTGTTTCTTTGGGAAAACCAGTCACACAGTCCTTCAGTATGATCTGCTTGTTGCTCGCTTCTTCCCCAAATGCCATTTTTCTCAGCAAGAATACCAACCTTTCTGATTACTAGTCCTCTCTCTCTACAAAAGCACACAAATGCTCTCTCTCTCTCTCTCAATCTGTTGTTACATTCACCATCTCTCTCATTCTCTTTATCAATCTGTTATTTCTTTTTCTCTCTTGTAGTGTTATGTTATGGTGAACAGGCCGAGAATGGGCCGCCGCAAAATCGAAATAAAGAAGATCAACGACCAAGACGCACGCCAGGTTCTCAAAAGTTCAAACCAAACGCCCTCTTATTTCCTTTATATCATAGGTCTTGTTTTGTTTCCTTTTTATCCTTTTATTTATGATAAACTATCGTATGATCCATAGTAACAGAATGGTCCTTGAGGTTGGATCATGATCCATAGTGGATGATCACCATCCAGTTTGTTGGCGATAATGGAGAGCGTTCAATAATATATTTTTCAAATAATGCAATGTTTGGTGAGACCCAATCTCAGTCTATCATGTCCAATCCATTCTTTGGATGGTGATGATATAGAACTTTATTGTTAGAGTGATCATATGGATCATAAGGTAGTTTCCCTCCACTTTTTAGTTCAATCTTACGTCGTATTTTTTGATGACCATCCATTGTCAATATTGAAGGATTTCAGAGCTGCTACCATTGTGTTTAAAATTGAAATGATAGGATACTGTATTTTCTTATAAAAGAGGGTTATATGTCACTATTAAGATTCATTTGAATCTTCTTTTTTTTTTTTTTATTTACAAATTTTGAAAAATCCAGGTCTGTTTCTCGAAACGCCGAGCTGGGCTATTCAAGAAGGCCTCAGAGCTCTGCATCCTATGTGGTGCTGAGGTGGCGGTCATCGTGTTCTCGCTAGCTGGCAAGGCTTACACTTTTGGCCACCCATGTGTTGACTCGGTTCTTGACCGTTTCCACCGCCACCAAACCAGTGGGCCCACCGGGCCCACCCCAGGGATGAGTGGGCCCACTCATGGGCTTGTATGCGAATATGCTGAGCTCCAACGCCAATTAGAGCTGGAGAAGAAGAAGGGGGCTTCCTTAGCCAAAAAGACCCGACAAGAACATCCAGGGCCATTGGGCCAGCAACAATTTTGGTGGGATGCTGACCTGCAGAGCTTGTGCAATTACCAACTTGAGCAATTTCTCAGTGCCTTGCTCGAACTCAAGGCTAAGGTGGACAAGCGAGCCATAGAGCTCACGTGCGGACAACCTGGAGGCGGAGCCCACGGGTTTGCGTGGGTCCCGCCACCGGCGACGGCCATGAAGAGCTATGGAGGGCAAGACTACTTTATGAAGCTGATGTATGGTGACACTACACCACACTAGTTGGCCCCAAGTATCTAAGCAGTCTATTGATATTTTCTTTCTCTTCAAAAGTTTGATACTCTATCATACTATTTAAGTTTGGATTATTACGTCTCTATATAAACTATGGTTTGTTGTGGCTTGTTGGACTCTGTGTTTTTGGATGGGATATTTTATATTACCAGATGTATGATTTGATAATGTCTATCTTTTTCACTTTCCCAATGTTTGGATTGTTCTCTCTCAACATGAATCATTTTAGATAGGATTTTGCATATAGGTTTTGCATATAATTTAAGGGAAAATGTTGTACATATACTTGTGAGAGTATAATATGGTACTCCAGCTTAACATCCACTGTCTATGTTTATAAATGGATATAGGGTGATGTGATTGTACCCAATTTTTGGCAGGAAATATTAACTCCATCCACTAAGCATGGACAATATATGTTAAATAAGAGTCTTGAATGCTTGTACAAAGTATAATACCCAATCTCATGATTTAATACTCTATTTTCATATGGAAAGTTTATATAGAGTCGAGGCTCTAAACAATCAAATAAGAGCCCACCTCAAAAATTTTACTAGAAGATTTTTTTTTTGATGCTCAAATATCCTTTGATTATCTGGATCAGGATGCATGGACATGAGAAAAAAAATAAATTTCAAGTTTTGGAAGTAGTGCATCATGTAAGGCATTTTTTGATTGTCAATTTTTAATATTTCAAGTTTTCATAGATTTGTTCAATCTACACTATTTGAAGCTTGAAGTTTTATAATTAAAGATGAAAATATATTTTAAGGTTATCACAAAGATTTTCAATATTGAAACTATATTTCTAGACATTATTAAGGTACACTTTATTTTGGTTGTTTACAGCCTCGGCTCCATACAAACCACACCCTTTTCATATTGTTTTCTCTCTGTTTTGTTTGTTTAAGCTAGGATAATAAAATGTGATTTTATACTATAAGATTCTTACCTTTGGTACGGGAAGATTACCGCCTCTAGCTATCAATGTGAATTTGGGCGGCTAAGAGTGAACTTTGCATAAAAATTGACACACTCCTAGTTGCTTGATCTCTTATCTAATTGTTAGAAATCCTTGTAACTTTCTTGTACTAAAGGTAAGCATATGTATTACACGATAATACATTTCTCATATTGTGTGGGGCAATGAATGGGCAACAATGAATGGGCTGGGTGTGAAATAGGTTTAATGGCCAACAATAATATGGTGGAAATCAAAATGAGAATTTCCCATGCATTTTGATTAAGGACGAATTTGATAACTATTAGAGTATGTTTATCTTTATTGATATGCATCATTATGAATACATAATGAGATATGTATATGTATGGTATATATCTCTTAGGTGTCTCTTGATTATGATAAGATTAGTTAGTAGTTATCCATAACTGTTGGTATTTATTTTTAATTGTTACTGGCCTATATTTATATAGGTTTTGTATATTCTTGATCAATCAATAAACAGAGAGTTCTTTGCAGTATTATGAAATAATCTTCCATAGGCGCCTAAGGCCCAACTATATAAAAATACAGTTTCTAACATGGTATCAGAGCTCTGCGATTTTCTTTGGGCCTTCGGCGATCTTCTTTGGGCCTTGTATTTCTTTGTTTTCTTCTTCTATAAGACGCCTAGCATCTCTCTCTAAAAAGGATCTCGTGAAGTTGGGTTTCTTTATTTTATTTCTTCTGCCGCTACGCTTTGCAAGCAAATCTCCTTGCAAGCATTTTAATAGCTCGTGCCTAATTTTTGCGAGCAAATCTCCATCAATTATTTTTTGCAAGCAAATCTTTGTGTAGTTCAAAACTATTTGTATGCGTCTCAGTAAAAGCTTTCTATTGACAATCTCCATCAACAAACTATTGTACAAGTTTGTGTGCATCTTCGTCAAAGCAGCTGCATGAATTATTAGGTGGCTGCAGAGGTGTTTGCTGCCCACAGTCTAAATCCACCTCCAAAAATGGCCTCTTAAAATAGCCGCTCTACACTATTTACCGAGTCGTTCTTTGACTATCCGCCGAGTCGTTATTCGACTATCCGTCAAGTCCTTCTTCGACTCTCCATTGAGTCATTCTTCGACTCTCTGTCGAGTCCTTTTTCGACTCTCTGCCGAGTCCTTCTTCGACCCTCTGTCGAGTCCTTTTTCAACTCTCTGCCGAGTCCTTCTTCGACTCTCTGTAGGACTCCCTGCAAAACAACCATTGTCTTTGTTGTGGAATGCGAGTTGTTGAATCTGTCTCGGTCCCTTACCGAGTTATGTTGGCTCTTCCAAGTGCCATTCTGTGCTTGTTCTTCAAGCAAAATACCACTGCTTCTATTGATTACGCCATGCACGTGAAGCCTTAAAGATCCAACTCGTTCGTTTATGCAACTTATTGTTCAAACTCCACGTCCTTTGTGTAAAAACATCTTGAATTTGAGGGGGAGTATTAGAGTATGTCTATCTTTATTGATATACATCATTATGAATACATAATGAGATATGTATATGAATGGCATATATCTCTTAGGTATCTATTGATTATGATTAGATTAGTTAGTATATATCCATAACCGTTCATATTTATCTTTAATTGTTACTGGCCGTATATTTATAGAGGTCTTGTATATTCTTGATCAATCAATAAACAAAGAGTTATTTGCAGTATTCTGAAATAAACTTCCATGGGAGCCTAAGTCCCAAATATACAGAAATGCAATTTCTAACAATAACTTTAGGTTGTGGGTTCAAGTTTGTGTTCGTTTGCTTTTATTTGACAAGAAACGCTATGTTGTTTTGGAAGCCACTGCTCCCCGTCTCTTAGTAAACAACATCAAAATGGGTGTGATGAGGTAGCCACAACTTACATGTTGCCCTTTGGGATTTGTCGCTTTCACAGTTAATGGAAGAGGTGATTGTGGCAGCCACTTCTTCCATCAAGCAAACACTCCCTATGGGCACATTTGGTTAAACATAGACCTAGAAAGTATGGAAAAGACAAATGAAGACGTTGCGATACAATGATAATAATTACGGCATGTTTGGTTTGCATGAAAACGTTTTTACAAAAAAAAATCTCTCATATGATAAAATGTGGGATTTTTTTTTATCAATTAGTTGCCAATTGTGGTGAAACGATGCACTAAGACCAATTGGTATGAAAATATTCTCACACTTGACAGCATGAGGGAATTTTTTCATGTGACACGAATCAAACGTGTCATTATCTTCTTCAAAATAATTTGATTTGTCCTTGGAGCAAAATGAAATCGTCTCTATGCAAAAATTTATAAGCTTTTGTTTTTCCAAAACCCAATATCTTCCAAAACTCAATACAAGAAAGTAATAAGGGTTTGTATATTATGATATCCTTTATTTTTGTTATAATGAGGTCACAATTTATCCTAGCCTTTAGATGCCGATTGGATGGTTTGAGGTGTGTCACATAGTTTTTTTTTTTTTTTGAACTTTGAGTCTAGTCAGTAACACAGTCACAACCATGTGATTTGAAATTTGACGGACAAAAGTGATTGCAACCTCCTTGTGTTGAAAATAAAGGATGAGATTTCTATAAGGCCTAGGCTTTATGAAAACAAAATAAAGCCAACCTCAAACCCTCGTCCAAAATGCACTTTCAACAACAAAAATCTCTATGAGGGCTCTAAAATTAATGAAATTTGAAACTCAAAAAGTGGTACAGATCTTGCGTATCTACGAATACTTTTTTTTAGGGCAAAATGAATGGTCAAGATAATTTGTTACAAAAATCATATTTTTAAAGCTTGAAATTTTTATTTTTTTATTTTCACAATCATAATGTTCAAGCCAAGATGTTTGATGTAAAGGTTTTCTAATGCTTGAATTGTAATGTTCAAATGAGTTATAATATGAGGCTTTATTTATTTTGATAGAGCTGCATCCTTAGGAAACCATTTTCCAAAACTAAATGATCTCTTCGTACACTTTTCTACAATAATAGCATGAGTGGAAGTTTAGCATACACCATAGTAAGCAATTTACTATTTGGAGATAAGGTAAGGAAACATGAATGTGTCCCCATGGCCTGAAGTTGATCTTGGACCACTTACATGGTCCCCTTTCCTTCGGTTGGTGAAACCCATGTGCATTGTGTGGTCCCTCAACTTCTTTATTTGAGCTCCATATTCCCACTGTGATCTACATAAGATAAGAGCCATCGACTTAGCACTGACGGTCAAAGTATACTGTGAAGAGGTGAGAAGGTAGAGAAGTACCGAAGCCATCTGAAGTGAAATGGGGTGGCTGTGGATGCTGACCCATCGAATGGTTTAAGATAGAGGTTGCAATCCAGGTCAGGTCTAGCTGGTTTTGGTGGAGTAATCTGAGATTGCCAAGGGAATGTTTTACTTGCATATGTTGGACTTTGCGGTAGTACAACAGTAACTATGTTGAATTACTTGGAGTTTTGAATTGTTTGAAACTTATTGTGGACAAGAACTTTGGAGGTGATTTTATTATTGAAGGGGATTCGTTTAATGTTATTAGATGGTGCAAGAAAGAACAACGGTTTCTTTGGCAACTTAAACTGATTGGAGTGCAGATTTTCGACTTTTTGTTTTTATTGTCTTTATCTCTAGAACATGTGTATGGGGAGGCTAATGATGTGGCTGATTCTTTGGCTAAGAGAAGAGTTATCTTGGATTCGTTGGCGATTCGCTGATAATGTGGATTTGTTGATTTAATCTGTATCTTTTTATAAATAAATTTTGAATTCTATACAAAAAAAAAAAAAAAAAAAAAAAAAAAAGAAGAAGAAGAAAGGATAGAGGTGGCAATCAGGAGGTTGGACCCACCGACTTGAAGGTTGAATTTGTCTTTGGTCCGGGTCTAGACTTGTATACTAGGCCCGGTACGTTAGGCCCTGGTTGACATGGTCTACGCCCCACCTAGGTCCGGGTCCATCAAGGACCTTATTGGTTGGCAGCCTGGTCCGACCCTGAAAAACTAGGGCCTGGCAAGTCCGGGCCGGGCCATGATAGGGCTGGTGCAGCCCTATTTTGTTCTTATTATATATATATTTATATTATTTTCTTTCTATTATGCCCAGCCCCACCCTGCCCAATTTGGGTCATGGGCCCTTCAGCCAAGTCTAGTTTAGACTGGGCCGTGCTTGGTTGGGCAGGGCTTACCCCCCGTTGTCAACCCTACGCATTGGGTCTAGTCCTGATTAGGGCCTCATCAAGCCGGGTGGAATCCGAGGTTGGCCCAAACCTAGCACGACCTGCTTACCCAATTGCTTAAATATACTGAATACAAGAATAATACACAACAATACAAACAGGCATGCACCCTATCAACATATGGCAGAGATTAATAATTTGTTGCCCTACCAGCTAATATTTTCCATAGGCTCTCTTGTACTCAAATTTGATTAAGGCTTTCTCAGTTCCACCCTTCTTCTATTAGGATGAACGTGGATCCAAAACGAACTATTTCAAGCATTGAAAATGGTCTAAATTATGCCATCTTTACCTCAACAAACATCGATCTGAGAAGAATAATTTCAAGCCCTAAACCAAGTAAGTTTGCATATTTCTTCTAGATTGCTCATTTTTAATCTTCGTAAATCTGTTTGATCTACATCATTTTTTAAGCTTCAAACTCTTCCAATTGAAGTAGGAAATGACTATTTTTTGGCACTAGATTTTAGTTTTCTTGTGAGGTTTTGAGGCATGGCTGCATGAATTCGTGGCTGTACAAAAACCTCATTAAGAAATAAGTTATAATCGAAAGAAGTTTTGGTAAGGCCGCGTGTTTAAGAAATTTGGTACGACAACACCTCAAAACCTTCCTGGAAAGACCAGATTTGGTGCCATTTCACCATTGATTCTAGATTTTGAAGCTCAAAAAATGGTGCAAATACGGTGGATATGTGAAGCCTCGAAGTGGAAATTCCAAAAAAGGTTGCAAGACATTGTTTTTAGGACTTTTATATATCCTTTCTTTTTTTCCTCTCATATCCAATGATCGACGAGGTGGGGATGAACAATTTGTAAAATTTTCGACATTTTCTAGTGAGATTTGAGATGCGGCTATGTAAACCGCTAGTTCACAAAATAGTTTTCTATTATAGGCCTCATGTCCATGATAATTTTATTATTGCAACATTCATTAGCGATGGATGGTGTGTGAGAGAGAGGGAATTGATGCAATTAAAGCTAATGACATTTTCTAGCAGTTCTACGCTCTCCCCATCACCATCACCCTATTATTGGATGGCAATGGCTCTCATGATTACAACATGCCTTTTCTGAAAAAAAAAAATGTCAAATTTTCACGTTAAACCGCAACGGACAAAATACGTGTGTCACAAGGATGAAAATACTATTTATTTTGATCTATATGCACTAGAAAGTGTTTCCCCCCGCGCCCCCCCCCCCCTTTAAACCGCAACGGTCATAATAAGTCTGTTACATGAACGAAAACGCTATTTATTTTTATCTATATTATGCATCAGAAAGTGTTCCCCCACCCCCCATTCCCCCTCCCCCTCCCCCCTTCATTTTCTCTCTCAAAGGGAATGTATAATGGGAGATCTCTGCCACCCCCTTCATTTTCTCTCTCAAAGGGAATGTATAATGGGAGATCTCTGCCATGGCACTCCAAAGGGGATAAAAGCCTGCAATTTCATGCGACTTGCCATCTCCTCAAAAGAAAGAAAAAAAAGATAAAGAGGAAGGAAAAGAGAAAAAGAAGAGCATCTATGTTCCTTTATGGATGTACACAAGATTTAGATACAAATGCCTTGGAAGTGCTTCTTTCTCCTCACGATCTTAAAGTGCTCGTACTTAACTCTCTAAAATGCATGTACTTACTCTCAATTAGCTTTAGTTTTAGTCAACAGCTTACTGTAAAGATTGCCCCATTTTCCCTTTTAATTAAATGATCAACATTTACATGGAAAGGGATATCTAAAATGAACAATATTTAACATTTTTAAAACAGGTAGATCAATATTTAGTTATATACCAAGATCAAAATATGTCTGTATTTTTGTGACTTACATGCATACGAAATTCAAAAAGACCGATCTCAAATTTAGCCTTTTGAACGTGATATGTCAATATATAATTTAAAACGGGGTGTAGCGTTATCCTTAAACAATCGGAGTGAGGTCCACCTCCAAATTGTTTAGGAAGAGGTAATTCCAGTGCGGAGAACTCTTATGATGGCTTGAAAACCTATTTTTGATCCTAAATATGAAATTTTAATTTTGAAAAATAGTGCAAATTGAAAAAATGTATAAACACTTAAATTTTTTTACAATAGATAGTTTTAGGAAGAGGTAATTTTAGTGCTGAAAACTCTTATGATAGCCTAAATACCTTGTTTTTCTTCTAATTATGAGATTTCAAGTTTGAAAAATGATGTAAATTGAGCAAATCTATCATCATCATTGTCGTCAAAGTCTTTTCCCAACTAATAGGGGACAATTATGCGAATCATTGTTTGTCATTCTGCTATATTAAGGGCCAGATCCTTAATGAGACAATAAGTTTCAATATTTTTTTCACTACTTTCAATTATTTTCTTTTGAGTATATCATTTACCCCTTTTTGAGCCTTCCATTTAATTAAAAATTGATCAAATCGTTAAATATTTGAAAATATCTAAAATAAACCATTTATATAATGCGTCAAGAGTTGCACTACACCCAAGATTTCAGATTTATTTATTTTTAAGCATTTATATATCTCGAGGTCAAAATGGTTAATTAAAAGATTTTTAAATATTTAAGTGTTCCTTACTTTTACATAAGGAGGTTCATACCTTACATAAACTTTTTCAATACGCATTGGCAGGTGTGGAATTTTAGAAAACATTAGGTATATTTATTACATCAATCTCAAAAAAATAAAAAATTATACTTTTTAGGAGTTATATAGAGGAGCAGTGCCATTAACATGTTAAAACGTACAAAAAAGAAGAAGAAGAAGAAAGTTTATACAAGGTTGTAACCCTAAAATGTAGAATTGAAGATGCACTTCAAAAATCCATTAGAAAATGTTGTTTTAATGTTGAAAAACCATCTAATAAATCATGTCGATATCAAGATATGTGGATATAAAAAAATATATATTTTGAGTCCTAAAAATAGTACATACCTTACAACACATTATCTAAACCATCAATTTTCAAGATTTTCATATAGTTATAGATGTACTTTTGCTTTAATTTCAAAATAGATTTTGAGATAATTTTAAGATTTTTTATATCAAAATTATATATTATGATAAAATTTAGAAGTGGATTTTGATTGGATTGTTTTAGGTTGCAACCTTATAGAAACCACACAAAAAAACAAAAAGAAAGGAAAGAAAAAAAAAAAGACGTGTCTGCTTACTTTTTGGGTAAGTAGACGTGTGTGTTTACTTCTTTATCACATTTGGCACCTCTTCCATTCTCCAAAATAATTTATCCTAATTTACCTTTCTCTCTCTAAATAATTTATCACTTTTGAGTAACTAATTTCATTGTTTTGCTCTCTCATTTTGTCTTTCTACCTTCTATGATTCTTCCCTCCAACTCCAAATTTCGAATTTCACTCTTCTAAATCTCAACGTTTTTGCCCCCTTTAAAACACGCCATTCGGGGACACCCCGGTCCACAAAGTTAGAGAGAGAGAAGAGAGAGAAAGATAGAGAGGAGAGAGAAAGAGAGAGGTTTGTCAAAGTCCTTTTGCACCGATCCAGGTGTCCCAACAAAAAATGTGGGCGCTTTCTCTCTCTAGGTCACTGTGTGACAGGCAAATTCGCCCGTACACAGGAGACGAGGCCAGTAGAACAATGAGAGTTACCCTCTCCCTCTCTCTGTTAAAACCTACTTTCTCTCTCTAAATCGCAGCGCCGTTCTCCCTCTTCGCTTTCTCTGTCTTCTGTCACAGAATGCGGCCTCTACCCAGGCGGCCCGTTGTGCCAGAGCTTGGGTCCAGAAAGGGGCAGAAGAGGAAGCTTGAAGAAGAGGAAGATGAGAGAGAAGAAGAGCATCAACAAGTATCGGGGACCTCTTCTCCCTCTTATTCTTCGCTTCCCCCCAATCATCAATCGATTTTAGCGGAGGTTGCAGTCCAGGTTCAAATCCTAAATTCTTCTTTCTCGTGGTCTGAATCCGATCGATGCGCTGCCCGTCGAGCCACCAGTGTCCTCACTGAACTCGCAAAAAATGGTACTCTCTCTCTTTAGCCTCTCTGTTTCTCTATTATCTCTCCATAGATTATCCGTCTCTGTAATCTCTCTCTCTATAGACTCCATCTCTCCAATCTCTCTCTAGAGACCGCCGAATCTCCGTCGTTTCTCTCTCTCTCTATTGTCCCTCTCTCTCTCTAGACTCTCCATCTCTTTAATATCTCTCTTTAGGCTCTCTACCTCTCTAATCCATCTCACTCTAGGCTCTCTATCTTTACAATCCCTCTCTCTCTCTCTCTGTGTCTGCCCCCCCTCCTCCATCTCTCTAATATATCTGTGCTAAACGCGCCATCGATGTATTCTCTCTCTCTCTTTGCCTCTGTGGCTCTAATCTATCCCTCTCGCAGTTTTTTTTCTTTTTCTCTCACTTCAATTCCTCATCCTATCCATGCATGCATCCATCCATCTATCTATCTATTTACAGGGGAATCTGAAAGTTACACTTTACAATGTAATTACACTGTAACATGGACTCGGATTTTCTGAACGATATTTAATTCTGATAATCCGGTAAAACCCCCAAAGTTTTGGTTTTCTAGTGACTTTTGCCATGACTGAATTGCCACAAGTGTAAAATTCTTCTCCCCATTTGGCGTTTGTAGACTATCCACTTATGTTAAGGTCTCAGCTTTTCAATATGTTATTTTAGTTTAGCGGATCTGATTTCTCATTTGGGGCTTTATGCGTTTCGCACTTTTCCCTTTTCTTGAATGTAAATTTGCAGAGGAGGTGGTGAATATAATTGTGGAAGGAGGAGCAGTCCAAGCCCTTGTGCAACACCTGCGGTCTCCTTCTTATACAGAAGACAATGAATTTCCAAAGCCTCATGAGCACGAAGTTGAGAAAGGTGCTGCATTTGCTCTTGGGCTTCTTGCTGTCAAGGTAACCTTCTTTCCCCCTTTAGAAGTTGAGAAATGTTGGGTTATTGATAATTGGCTTCACAATTCAACTACTATTCTGGATTGAGATGATTCCTTCCTTTTGATTGTTCTAATGCTCGTGTTTTTTGGTGCAGAACTAATCCTTCTCCTTTTTTTCTTTTGCTTTTGAGAAGTTGAGAAATGTTAGATTATCTGTAATTGGCCTTGCAATTGTGAATTGAGAGTATTTCTACCTTTGGATTGGTGTGAGTGCCTGTGTGTATTCAGCTTAGACCTATTTTTTATTTTTTATTCCTGAGAAGCTGAGAAATTTCAGGTAATTTGCAATTAAAATGTCATTCAGAATTGAGAGGATTTCTACTCTTGACTGGTGTGAATACCCATGTTTTTGATGTGTAGACCTTGTCTTCTCCTTAAGATTATTTCTGGGTTAACCTAATTCTCCATGACCTCCAGTTGTCTTTTGGGGTAACCTTTGTGGAGAGAGAATTCGATGTTAATTGGTGTGAATTCATTTGGTTTTGCAATAACAGCCAGAGCACCAGCAACTGGTAGCAGACAAAGGGGCTTTGCCTCTCCTTGTGGCACTTCTGAAAAGGCACAAGAAGTACTCAAGCTCTCGATCAGTCAATGGTGTTATTCGTAAGGCAGCAGAGGCAATCACAAGTCTTGCCCACGAGAATGGCAGTATTAAGACCCGCGTCAGGTATTTTATCAGTATCTTTGCTGAGTGGGGGAGGGAGATTTAAGTGTACCTAGAGTAAAGTAGATATATGTAGAGAGAGTTTGTACTCTGAGCTTTGAGGGGTGGAGTAAGACAGCAAATTGTTTATGGTAATTGTTTGGGTGACACTTGGTTCCCTGGCTTTGGCAGGATGGAAGGAGGGATCCCTCCCCTTGTTGAATTGCTGGATTTTGCCGATATGAAGGTGCAACGAGCAGCAGCAGGGGCATTGCGCACTTTGGCATTTAAAAATGAGGCTAACAAGAACCAGGTCTGTGGGTTTCTATTTATTCAAGAAGCCATTCACACCAATTTTATCTCTTGGTCTGAGTATTAATATTCCTAATGTTTCATCTTATAGATTGTGGAATGCAATGCCCTCCCAACCTTGATTTTGATGCTTCGATCCGAGGACTCAGCTATTCACTATGAAGCGGTATAATTTTCTTTTACTCAGCCTATTGAACTAAATTCTTGCAAGTTTTGTTGTCAATATTAACTCGGTTCTTTCTTTATTATAAGTGAAAATATTTTCTGACATTGTAAACTTCTTCCTGAGATACTTTAGGTTGGCGTTATTGGAAATTTGGTCCATTCATCTACGAGCATAAAGAAAGATGTTCTCAAGGCCGGTGCTCTGCAGCCTGTTATTGGGTTGTTGAGGTATTTTTGGTGTGAAGTCTTTTGTTATCACTTTAACGACGTGTTCATTTTATTTAGCATTTAGAATACATGAATCATGCCATTAAATGATTGTTTTGTTGCTAGGAAGAAGTACATGGTGGATGCATGCTTTCAGTTTGCTCTTATTTGTACAGAATTTAGAATACATGAATCATGCCATTAAATGATTGTTTTGTTGCTAGGAAGAAGTACATGGTGGATGCATGCTTTCAGTTTGCTCTTATTTGTACAGAAAAGGAATTTTTTTTGCTTTTTAAATCTTTTCGAATTGCGACTCTCACAAGATGAGCGAAATATGCTACTTCTCGTTGTGTGTTATGCAATTGGGAGTACTGCCCATGATATTTATCTTTGATATTAAATGAGAACATCGTATAAGTAAATTATTGAGTTTGCATGGATATATATGCTTGCCTATATGCTCCAAGCCAGTGCTTTAAAACCTCACGATGCGGATCAGGAATTGCCAATTTGAACTGGAGTCGGTTGGGACTTCACCAGTTTTGTAAAGTATCTATATGGGCCCATTCCCCCCTTAAATATATTGGCCCATTCCCCCCTTAAACAAGTCCCTTTCATATTTTGTTCTTAAAAAGGAAAATTTGTTCTTTTTCTTTTTTAAGCTTATCTAATGTTTTCTTAGGTGCTCCCCTAAAGCCCCCCACTTAAACCCCTATTTTAATTTTTTATTTTATTTTTTAATTACTTTCTAGATTGCTGATTAGGGCTGATCTGGATTGGCAACGGATCTATGGGCTGAACGATCTGCCCCACCATCTGGGTTTTGAAACACGGCTCCATACTTTTAGTTACACCTCATAGTATTGAATAGAACTATGATAAAAACTCACTTAAAAGTGAATAACTAGAACTGGAAATAAAAAAATGTTTTTAAGTGTCTAAAAAGAGTTATAACTATCTGGTTGTTTTGATCGATGCGGGCCTCTGGAAGTGGAAGCAATTGCATCCAAACTTTTGTACAAACCTTCACCAAAGGATGAAGATGAAGAAGAGAGAAAGAAATAAAGGAAGATTAACTGGTTAGAACGAAATAAAGGAAGAGTAACTGGTTATGAACAAACTATCTTTGCAACTTCTACTTTTCATCTGATCCCTAATGCTCCTTGTTTGGTTTTGAACTTCCAATAAGTAAATATGTGATGATAGCACTAGGTAACCTGGCCAGAAGAAGTTTGACTTGTGTTGAATGATTTATATCGACTTTGGAGGACGAGGAAGGTGTAATATTGTACTGGTGAACCTTGAGAGGGTCAAGATCTTTATGGTTTAAATGTCTTTGGAGAAGCGTAAAGACAAATTCAGTTGCGGATTATATCTTGCATTTTAGTTTTCTCAGTGTTCCATCCTCTTGTAGTTAAATGCTTGATTGATTTGATCAGTGACTGTGACAACATTGAACTCTCAAAACTTATTTGAAGTTTGTATTCATTGCCTATACACAGGGCACTTTATTCAGGGTCAAGTGAAATAATTGTCTGAGATTTGGTACTTTTGGGCTCTACTTTTATTCATAATTATCAAACTATGAGCATTATTATTTTCCTGGATGGTTAAATTCATCAAATTGTTTGTATTATTTGCTATGTCTGTGTTATGTGAGAAATTCGTGTTCAATTTGCTCTGTGGATGCTGTGATGTTTTGCATCTTGCAAAGATGATAAACTTGTCTGAGGTTAAGCTTTCTTTCCTGGTGCTTTATTCTAGGTTAGCAAAATAATAATCTGAGCTTTGGTACTCGGGATGTGCTTATTCATAATTATTAAGATGAGCAGTATTATTATTTTTCATGAGAAATTTCAGTTCAATTTGCTCTAGCGGCACTACATTATTTGCTTATTGTAATGATTATATTGCTACAAAGAGGTTAACCTTTTTATACTGTTGCCAGTTCCTCATGCCCAGAAAGTCAAAGGGAGGCTGCACTATTACTTGGGCAGTTTGCTACCACTGATCCAGAATGCAAGGTGCTCTTTCATTTTATGGCTTTAGTCTAAAGCCAGGCAATAATTTGGCTTTCGAAGTTCATTTGGTAATTTTTAGTGAAAGAGTTACTTGCAGGTGCAAATTGTGCAACGTGGTGCAGTGAGGCCACTTGTTGAGATGCTTCACTCCTCTGATGTGCAACTCAAGGAGATGGCAGCCTTCGCACTTGGAAGATTGGCTCAGGTCCGTTGTATGCCTTTGCTTATAAAGAATGCTTATCAGAACTACAGGTGTTGTTGCTAGAACTGTTTTTTCTTACATTCAAATATTTCATAGATTAATTGCATTCGTGCTTCATGAGTTTGAGTGCTTCCTTTTTCGGGAAGCATAATGAAGTCCTGATTTTCCTAGATATTGTCCTTTATCAGGAAGCATAATGAAGTCCTGATTTTCCTAGATATTGTCCTTTATCGGGAAGCATAATGAAGTCCTGATTTTCCTAGATATTGTTTTGTATTTGTGGCAGTATGGGAACCAAATAAAACCATTTTCTATTTTTTTATTTTTTATTTTATTAACTATATTTTTCATGAGATTCAAGAGATGTGTATGCAAAATTTTGGTGGAACAAATGTCTCTAAGGCTCTCAAATATTATGTAGGGAGGACACTTTCACGCTTACCCCTACATACACATACATACATATACATAGAAAAATACTTAAAAGTCCATCAAACAGCCATGATTGTCTGCTACTTTTAACCTCAAATTATATGTGTGTGTGCCTCAGTGGGCGCACCTAAATAAAATATAAAAAAATAATTCAAATAATAAAAATGACTAATTACCTCTGTGAATATTTCATGGGTATTTTCATCATTTTATAGTTTGACAATTTATTATTTTGAAATGTTATTTTTGTGCGAGTTGCTTAGATGTACATACTCCCCAAATTTTAGATAAATCGGATTTGTAAAAAATATTAAAAATTCAAATACTATTGGATAATCATAACTGTCTGATGGACTTTGGATAGTGATTAGCCATGAGTGAAGTATTATAAAAATTCACTCATAGGTGTTTGCCAGTGTTATCCATATATATGATATTATATATAAGGGATAACACTTAATAACACCTTTGAATGGTGTAGGTGAGTTGAATGTTGTAGGTGAGTTGACCAAGGATACTATGCTTGTGAGTATATATAGGTCTTTGTTAGTGTTATCCACATATGTTATCAATGAATGGTGTACTTGAGTTGTTTTGCTGGACTAAGGATGCTACACTTGTGAGCAGTGTTTAAAAAATGGGTGACCCAATCCCGAATCGGGCGATCCGGATCTGCTCAAAAAACTGGATCCAACCGTTTTGACATGTTCAACCGGTATGATGATGTCATCAATTGCTGCTATGACATCATAAATCGGTCGCACATCATCATTGACATCATCAATCGCTGCTATGACGTCATAAATGGGTCGCACATCATCATTGACATCATCAATCGTTGCTAGGAAGTCATAAATGGGTCACACATCATCGACGCCATCGAACCTTTTATGACGTAATCAATTTTTTTAAATTTTTTTTGGGTTGTGAAATTTTTTAATTTTTAATTTTGAAAAGTGGTCCTCACTCCTCATGCAATCATGGGCCCCACTCACATGCACTCTTTCAATTACATGCGTGCTTAACGTCCATAGACGTCTACTTTTATAAGCTCGTTTTGTACCACAATTCTTTGATGTGGGATCTTTTGAGCCTACTCTCTCATGTGTAAGGGATGTCCAATACATATTCAAGCGGAGGTCTAATATATTTTCGACTCCCTCTCTCTATTTATTGAAGGATATCTATCAAATGAAATGGTCTATAAAAAAAAATTGTTTTTCTTTTTTAGATTAATTATATTTATCTGTCTTTTTTATAATTTACAAAAATATGATATGAAAACGTCTTCGAATAATCTTTTAATCATGTTTATTATAATATTATAGTTCATAATTATACATTGACAAAAATTTATTGTTAACTTATTTAATATAATTATGTTAAAATTGTTATTGCTATATTGAAATTTTTATTGTTATAGATATATTAAAACATCGTATAATTTAATATATTAAATTGTTATGTTATTTAATAAATTATTATTGTTATATAGATTATGTTATTTCGTATTTCGTCTAGATTGTGTTTTTAAATAATATATTTTAACTTTTACAAATATTAACAATTAATTTATTGTTAATTTGTTATTATTATAATAACGTATTCGATACAACAATAAAAATTTGATATAATTTTGAATTGTGTTAAGTTGTTATATGGAAATTCTTGAATCATATTTATTATAATTAATAATTATATATTGATAACTAAATCATGTATTTTATTTATTGTTAATTTGTTATTAACAAAATAACGTATTTTATACAACAATAAAAATTTGATATAATTTGGATTGTGTTTTACAAAATAACGTATTTTATACAACAATAAAAATTTGATATAATTTTGAGTTGTGTTAAGTTATATAGAAATTCTTGAATCATATTTATTATAATTAATAATTATATATTGATAACTAAATCTTGTATTTTATTTATTTATTATACTCCAGACAGGAAAATTGTGTCTCAGTATTCACCTATTTTTTCAAAGTAATGAAAGTACATAATTCACCACTCCTAATTTCTTTTAGAAACTAAAATAACACTATTGTTAGAGATTTATAGTGATTTATTAAAATTTTTGAGACAAATATTACCGATTCCGCCAATTCTCCAATTCCATCCACATAGTCTTCAATCCGACACGGGTATGGGTGTGACCGATTTGAGTCATCGATCCGTTTTTTTAAACCTTGCATGTGAGTATATATAGGATGGTTTCCTTGTACATTGCATCCACCATGTATATCTTACATCATAAAATTTTGATTCCAATTACCCTGTCCCTTTGTTGCAATTATTGTTGTAGGTGGGTATGTTTCCATTTGCATAGGGTATTTTGAAAACATTAAATGTGAATGGGTTGAGTGCATATGATGCCTTATTTCCTTTGATAATGGCATATTAAGTGTGTGGCATCCCATGCATACTACCCGCACTTTATGTGCTATTTCAATATACCATTCTATTTATGAAGGGACTACTATGGTAAAGTGTGAGGGTAATTAAAGATTTGAAGTCGCATTTTAATAGTTTAGGCTCTGTCTGGAATGGATTACAAATTTTAGCCCGTAAGTTTAGATTCCAATAGCGCCAGCTCGCTATTATGTTCATATACTATTTAAAAAAGAGGTCCGGACCTTTTTTTGGAAATCCTGCATGTATGATATGGTGATTTCCCTAGGGGTTGCGAAACCCTGAGCATTGACTGCCAGTACAGTATCACACATAGCATTATTAATTATAATTAATAATTATATATTGATAACTAAATCTTGTATTTTATTTATTTATTATACTCCAGACATGAAAATAGCGTCTCAGTATTCACCTATTTTTTCAAAGTAATGAAAGTACATAATTCACCACTCCTAATTTCTTTTAGAAACTAAAATAACACTATTTTTAGAGATTTATAGTGATTTATTGAAATTTTTGAGACAAAAATTACCGATTCCGCCGACTCTCCGATTCGATTCACAGATTCTTCATTCCAACACGGGTATGGGTGTGACCGATTCGAGTCATCGATCCGTTTTTTTAAACCTTGCATGTGAGTATATATAGGATGGTTTCCTTGTACATTGCATCCACCATGTATATCTTTCATCATAAATTTTTTATTCCAATTACCCTTTCCCTTTGTTGCAATTATTGTTGTAGGTGGGTATGTTTCCATTTGCATAGGGCATTTTGAAAACATTAAATGTGAATGGGTTGAGTGCATTGGATGCCTTATTTCCTTTGATAATGGCATATTAAGTGTGTGGCATCCCATGCATATTACCCGCACTTTATGTGCTATTTCAATATACCATTCTATTTATGAAGGGACTACTATGGTAAAGTGTGAGGGTAATTAAGGATTTGAAGTCGCATTTTAATAGTTTAGGCTCTGTCTGGAATGGATTACAAATTTTAGCCCGTAAGTTTAGATTCCAATAGCGTCAGCTCGCTATTATGTTCATATACTACTTAAAAAAGAGGTCCAGACCTTTTTTTGGAAATCCTGCATGTATGATATGGTGATTTCCCTAGGGGTTGCCAAACCCTGAGCATTGACTGCCAGGGCAGTATCACACATAACACGCGACACTGCATTCTCATTGCCTTTCTCAATGCACTATTACAAACATAGTCTCTGGCATACATGGTAAATGCGAATGCCTATATATACCTTTACTAATGTTTTAACCTGTGGCATACGTGGTAAATGCGAATGCCTATATATACCTTTACTATTGTTTTAACCTGCTAGAGTATATAAATATGTCTTACTTACCAATGCTGCGAATGCCTGTATATACCTTTACTATTGTTTTAACCTGCTAGAGTATATAAATATGTCTTACTTACCAATGCAAGTAGAGCATAGCTCATTTAATATAAGACACGTGTAAAAGAAAGAGGGTAAAAATTAGATAATATGGGGAAGTTATTCAAGAGAAATTACTGAAAATGGGAGAGAATAAGTTGAAAAAGGAGTAAGATATGATAAGTATCCCTAGAATTTAGGCTACTTGTTTTCCAAAATTAGTTGTAAAAGAGAAACTTTGCACAACTACAAAAATATAGTCTCTCTCTCTCTCTCACACACACACACATGCTAGCTTGAATGCTGCCTATACTTCTAATGGGTTGCATACTGGCGTGTGTGTGCTTGTTGACCAGTTTTGAATTGTTTCTAGGCTACATAATCCTTCCAATTTCGCATTTATATTAGGAACTACAATCCCATGGTACAGCTGCATTGCCATTAGAGTTTACAAAAGTGTGGAGTGCCTAAATAATGAAAATGATGAGCATTTTATTCATTAGGATTCTCACAACCAAGCTGGCATTGCGCATGATGGGGGCTTGCTTCCCTTGCTAAAGCTTCTTGACTCAAGAAATGGGTCTCTACAGCACAACGCTGCATTTGCTCTTTATGGACTTGCTGACAATGAGGTACCGATTGGCTTGATAGTTTCCCATTGAAATGCCATAGTAGCAGGTTTTCTTCTTTTTATACTGTATACATTGAAATTTTCTTATATTTGGCTAGCATTGCAACAATAATGCATTTCTGATGTTGTAATGCAAACTTTCAATTTGTAGGATAATGTCTCGGATATTATCAGAGTTGGGGGTGTTCAGAAGCTCCAAAATGGGGAATTTATTGTTCAAGTATGCTGTTTTCCCCTATCGTTGCAATTCATGTTTATTAACTTTCTCTGGAGATTGACAAATATGAATGTTTCTTGGATTTGATTACTTGTAATTTTGATGCGCATTTGGAGTTGTTCAGTTCTGCCCAGTGTTTTAAAACTTGGCGATTCCCCATCCGGATTGCCAATTTGGATGGGAGTCGTTTGTGACCGAATAGGTTCCGGGATGTATGGGTCTCAGCCCAGTCCCCCCCACCCCCCCTCCCAAACCCCGACTTTATAATTTTTTTTGGACCGATCCAGATGGATCCAGATCGCCCATTGTATTTTGTAGTGATATGGGTTTTGAAGTACAGGTTCCATGAAGGCATCACTGTTTGGAGAAGTCTCATTTCTATTGGTACTTTTTTTTGTCCTTTATAGGTCTCTTTTATGATACTTCATATGTGGTTACAGGCTACAAAGGATTGTGTTGCCAAGACGCTGAAGCGATTAGAGGAGAAAATTAATGGAAGAGTGAGTTTTTTTATTCATTATTTTTCTTTGATAATAAAAATTTTAAAATGTGATTTTTTTATTCATGTAATTTTCTATTCTTGACTTTTGACTATTGTTATTCATGTCTACACTTCTCAATACGTAACTGGTACTTAACAGCCTCTGCTGCTATTATTCAATAGCCTATATTGTCTTGCATTTGTGTTGAATTCTAAAATATGTTTTTTTTTTTCTGTTATTTACTTTGTAATATTTCATTGATAGGTGTTGAAGCATTTGTTATACTTACTGCGCATAGGAGAGAAGGCTGCACAGAGGAGAGTAGCCTTGGCACTCGCACATCTTTGCTCTCCTGATGACCAGAGGTTTATTTTCATTGAATGCCATGGTATGAGGTTGGAATTTCCATTCTGAACTTCTTTTTGTCCTCTTTACTGTGTAAAAAGAAACTTGTACTTCAGCAAAGGGAAAGGGGGAAACAAAAAGTTGTAGAACTCCTGTCTTGCCCTTCCAGGATTTCTAGGGTTTCACCTAATTTTTTGATGGTTAAGTAATATTGCTTTCTTGCAGGACTGGAGGTACTTCTAAATATGTTAGATTCCACTGATTCTAAAATGCAGCAAGATAGTGCTGTTGCATTATACACATTGGCCAACAAGGCCATGGCACTCTTTCCTATGGATGCAGCTCCTCCATCGCCCACACCGCAGGTTTGACTGTCTTCTAAAGAACAGTTAATATCCATTGTTTATATACATCGTTGATTTATTGGAGTTTTGAAAGTCAAACTTCTTCCCTTAGTTTGGACCTTTTTCTTATTGACATTTTTCCATAGTTCTCACCTTCAAAGTGCAGTGCAAATTTGCTTTGAAACTTCATGGGTGTTTAGCCATTAAAGGAAAGAAACATCCATGTAAGTGATCATTGAATAAGTTGACTGCAAAGTGTGGAACATATTTTTTTCTTTGGAACTGTTACCTTTGTATTGAAAGTGTATACAGTGTACAAAATTACCCAACCCAGGGGCTCAAAAAGCCAGAGAGCGTGGCAAAAACAAAACTATATGGGTGAAAACATGGGAACAGTTACAGTTAAAAAACTCATTTGGTAATTACAAGGATATGGCAAGTTTCTTGCCAAAAAATTAAAGCCACATCAGCTCCTTGCTTAGCCAGTATGTCACCTACTTGATTGGCCTCCCTCCACGTATGAGTCCACGAGACCTGCATTTGCCTGCCAATTCCTAAAATCTCATCAAAGATAGTCATGAGTCTCCCTGGTGTTGTAGCCTCTTGTGGGGCCCAGGAAATGACATTTCTTGAGTCATCCTCGACAACCAGAACTGTGCTCCAAGAAGGGTTGAAGTTTTCCAATAGGGCACCGGCTTCTGCTGTGGTTGAATCTGTGGTCCCAATGGGGGAGCCGTAAGACAATAGAGAAACTCCATCATGGTTCCTGAAAATGCCCCCTATACCTGCTGGACCTGGATTGCCGAGTGAGCATCCATCGAAGTTGAGCTTCAAGTGTGACGAAGGAACTTGATAGTGCTATGTCTCCACTACCTTTTTGGACCTTATATGAGTGTGACAAGCTTTAAGGTTTTCAACCTCTTGTTTATTGACCTCGTGAACAATTTTTTTTTGGATAATGTTCTATATATATTGCTAGAACAAAATGTTATAAACGTTAGGCAACCCATAAGGGGTGCCCTATACGGTACCCCGAGGGTTAAAAAAAGGATTTACCGTTAGAGATAGAAGAGACAGAAAGGGGAGAGAAAGAACGTATCGGAAGGGGCACCAACATTAAGACCCCAATGTGGTATTTGAATGGCACTACTGTATTGGCTTCTCTAAAGATGTGGGTCCAGGATACCCTGATGCCACTACAGAGGTGTAAAATTTATTCGAAAATGTGGTCTAAATGCCACGGCCAGGGTGAGAGATTGGAGGCCCGAGAAATAACATTATTGTAGTCTCCTTCCACCAAAAGCTCAGTACTCCATGAGTGATCAAACTTGCGAAGGCCCTCCAACAAGGGCAGAGCCTTGGCAAGAGGAGTCAGCTGTGCCAATGGATTTTGAAAAAGACAACAGGGTACTGCCATCATTCAGGCTGAAGAAGCCAACAACGCCTGAGGGACCTGGGTTGTCAAGGGAGCAACCTTCAAGATTGAACTTAATGGTTTGTGACCCAAAAGGCTACGAGATTCCTAATTTTGTCGAGCAAAGATGAGACTGTGGATCTTTCTCCCCTGAAAATTCTGTTGTTTCTTTCGAGTCAAATGACCCACAGAGTGGATGTGATATAGGCTCTCCAGAGTAGTCCCCCTGCCTTCGGCCCATGGGTGAAGAGAAAGGGCCTTAAAGAGTTGGGGGATGGATCTGGGGGTGACCGAGGAGTACTCAAAAAGTTCGAGTAGGGCGGCGGTCTACAAGGCACTGGCAAACTCACAGTGTAAGAATAAGTGTGCGTTGGAGTCTTTGTCTTCCATGCACACGACGCATCTGTTGGGGCAAGGCACGCCTCTTCTCTGGATTTGATCAATAGTCAGCACTCTTTTGTGAATCACAATCCAACAGAAGACCTGAATTCTCGGTGGTCAGAGAGAGAGCCATGCTTTGAATGCAAGGGTGAGGGTAGAAGAGGCGGGGTTGAGGTTCGAGGTGAGTGTGCAAAAGAAAGAGGACCTCGTGAATGATATCACATGGTTTAAATAAATCATGACCATGTTTTAAAGGTGTATTGAAATGTTGAAGTGGAATTCTCTAAAAGAATGTTGAATTGGACTGTAGTGAATAGTCATGTCAGTGATAGTCATGGTCTTGTGCTGTTAGCTATGTCATTAAACCTTTTGTGATGTATGTTATAATTTTGTTTATCATACGCAAGTGATTTTAATGCTGGTGGTGACACATATGTCGGCATTTTCCTAGTTAACCAAATTCTGATGGTTGTGATGTGAATGCCATTCATGATGTCAGGCCTATCTTATGGCATTCTCACTTTCTTTGATAATTTTTCTTGAATTTCAGCAGGCATGATTTGCCATGAGTAAGAGGACTTTTGAAAACTAAAAACTAAAAGACAGAAACTTTTGTTTTTTGGGTTTATGTGCTTGCATATTTATGTGCAAGCACATAAATGTGGATAAAAGCATATTCTATCGTGTAAAAATGTACTGTACATATGACAGGTCGCATGTTTTTATCTTGTACAAAAATAGTGTGACATGTTATATGACAGGTCACTTTACATCACTTTTTATGATCCCTTTCTTGTATGATTGAGCATAGTGGTTATCATTGATTATTTGCTATTTTGCTTTATTTTGATAACCCATAGGGAAACCTTCTATTGAGTCAGAAACTATTGCAACTATTAATTTATCTATATTTCTTTTGGCGTCATTCCACAATGCAGTTTCTTAATTTTAAAGTCATTAATTTTGAAATTTGTTTGACCTTTTCTTTTTTATTTTGGATGGCATTCATTAGTTGTAAGTTTTTATGTTTATTAATTGCTAATGTTGTTACTCAATTGTTTGGTTTATTCTATTGGGATTATGTAATTGGTTCTAGCAAGATGCGAAATATACAAGTTCGGCAAAAAAAATAAGATTTGAAATACACAGGTTCCTCTTTGAACTACTTACAACTGTTTTAGTCTTCTCAATCTCCTTTTGTCATAGCATGTGAATATTTGAGCTTACAGATTTTGGATCCAATGTCAACAACTTCGCAGGTTTATCTAGGTGAACAGTATGTAAACAGCGCTACTCTATCTGATGTTACATTTTTAGTTGAAGGTGATGTTCTTTTTAAATAATTTTTCTCATGCATGAGAAATTTTCAAAAGTGTTATTCATTGAGTTCCTGCGGCTTTTCTTTGTCATGTATGGATCACTGCTAGTTATGAAATTGATGGTTAAATTTTTTGTTCCTTTTCTCAGGTAGACGATTTTATGCACATCGAATTGCATTGCTTGCCTCTTCTGACGCATTTCGTGCAATGTTTGATGGTGGCTATAGGGTAAGATACCACATCTCAGATCATATTTTATCTTAAATGTGAGCTTTATATTGTTTTTGCCATATTTAATTGAGAAGTACCTTTGAAATTAATTATTTTTGCCATATTTTATCTTTGTATTTTGGTTACGGTTTGTGGTGTCTTAACTTCATTGCAATTTGAACACTTTTTGTATTTGCTGATGACTCTAACCCAGGACCACATGTAGCTGTTGTCCACAAGGAATAGGGTGGCACCTTATGAATGGCCAACGCATATATACCTGTTGGTATTTCAAAATAGTTTTTACTTATGCATGTAGTTCCAACTATACAATAACCAAACTTACTAAATGCAACAATATTGCAAGTACTAGATGCAAAATTGCTCTTATACATATCTATAAACCACTTAAGAGGACCACTTCAAGTTGAAGTAAAATTAAGTTATATCTACCTCAAAAAAAGTAAAATCAAGTGATTAACAAAAATCCAAGATATATGTTATGGTATGAATGTTGGTCACATTGTGAAATGAGCCAATGAAGCCTTATATAGTAAACTAGAAGCTTGTGTGTGTTTCCGAGTCTCACTGCATCAAACACAGTTTTTTCGTGGTGATTAATATTGGACCACACTTATTTTTCTAGATTTTCTAGAAGTTTAACTTCTGAACAAATTCAATCTCTTCCTTCAAATTGCTCAAGAGTGTGTGGAAGTCAATTTTATGCAGTATAAACTTGATTTTAGGTACACTTTAGAAAAATATATTTGTTCCAGTGAGGATATCCTTTATATTTGTGTTGAACGTACAGTGCAGTGGGCTTTAGAAGGGGATTCAGTTACACGCTAGATTGATGAATATGTCAGGATATTTTAACTTATAATTCATGCGTGCTTTGTGTGGTGAACACGTTGCAGGAGAAGGATGCCAAGGACATTGAGATCCCCAATATTAGATGGGAGGCCTTTGAATTGATGATGAGGTGAGGAGCAAAACATGTCATTTGTTTTTCTTGGTTGTCCTGCTCCCTCTCATTCTTTTTTTTATTTGGTCTTTCCTTTCCTCATATATCTCTGGTCTTCCTCAAGCCACCCTCACATGCACGCATGCACACACACACATGCATGCACACACAGCACACACACACGCACGCACACAGCATGCACACACGCACGTGCACAGGCAGACAGACAATTTTATGTGTTTCTGTGAATGGGCTTGAGTGATGCTCTTCTTTGTTTGGTCACAGATTCATATACACAGGAACAGTAGACGTAACTCTAGACATTGCTCAAGATCTCCTTAGAGCCGCAGATCAGTATCTCTTAGAAGGTCTCAAGCGACTATGCGAGTATGCCATTGGCCAGGTGAAACAAAGAGATCCACATGCCTCTTCTGGCTATCTTCTTTTTTTTTTTTTTGTGAGGTGAGATTGTATTGAGAGAAACCATTTACTCTTCTTCCTGTTCTTGCTCCTTTTGAATAGAGAATGTGCATGTCTAAAACATCTTAATTTTATTATGTGGGCTTTATTTTAACGGGCGGTCCCGGGTTTCAGGACATATCACTTGATAATGTGGTTTGCATGTATGAGTTGGCTGAGGCCTATCATGCCATGACCCTGAGGCACACGTGTGTTTTGTTCATTTTGGAGCACCACCAGAAGATGAGCGAGAAACCTGAGTATGTCAAACCCCCTCTCTCTAAAAAAAAAGTTGATTTTTCTCCTTAGAGAAGGGAGAATCGAAACATGTCAAAATCTCTCTTAGCAAATTATCCGAATATTTTGTTTAAACATGTGTGCTTGTGTGTGTGTGTCCGTGCGTGTGTCCCTGTGTGCATGTGTCAGAATATCAGACCCCCCTACCTGTCATGTCAAATATATGCTTCATCACCTAGTAATTTCTGGTTGCGTATGAAGCGATTAGTCTTACTATTGATATTGAGATTTACTATTTTGGGTGGATGGTTTTTGCAGGCATTCACAACTAATTCAGCGAATAAGTCCTGAGATTCGGGACTATTTTTCGAGAGTATTGCGGCCGCACCCCTCAGCTTCCATGAATGTGTAGAGCTTTAATGCCACCTTCAGGTGATTTGAGAGAACTGGAATCATGAGAGAGAAAGTCGGAATAAAGCTTACTTTCTGGGGCCATGGTTGTACAAACGGGGAGTGGGTTTCAGAATCTGAATGATGGCCAGCACTGTTCACTAGGCAAGTTCATGAGTTTCAATGTAATTTGCGAATTCCATTGAGGCTTTTGGCCTCACTTTATTCTCATGCAGCTTGAGTTGGTTAGTGCAATTTATTGGACCTCTCTCGCTTTCTCAAGATTGGGAACTTATAAATAGGGTTGTAATGGGCTTGGTCCAGTCTGCAGGCTTTAAATTGGGCTGGGTTGTTAAAGGCCTATGGTTTGGACTGGGGCTTGGCTTGGAAGGGGCAAAATATAAAGTCGACATCTTATGTTGTGGAATTAAGGTGTATCCCAAAAATCCATCAAAAAAGATGCTTTGACCTCCCAAAAATAATACATCTTGTCAAGATTGTCGTATGTTTGTAAGTATGTTTGATTTAAATCAATTTTGGAGTTTAAAATTTTATAATTATAGTGAAAATAGGTTCTCGGGCCATTGAAAGAATTTTTGACACCAAAATTGCATCTTATGGCAAAGGTTCTAGATGTGAAGGTTTCAACCTAATGCAAGCTCGCCACACTCCTTATTCAAGCGATACCCTCTGTATACTTGTATAAGGCCTGTGGGGGAATGAACCAATTTTTACAGGCTTGAGCCTCATCAGTTTGAAATCTGGCCGAGCCTGAAACCAATTTTGTTGGGCCCAGGCCCATCTTGCTTTGTTTCAGGCTGGGCTACCTATGCAATTGGAGAGAGAGAGAGAGAGAGAGAGAGAGAGAGAGAGAGAGATGGTGACTAACTATGCAAATGAATGGATTTGTTGTCTTTGAATCTCTTCTCATAATTTATTGAGGGGAAGCTCACCCGAAGTTAACAGAAATCCTGTTTTGAGTGTTTGTTTTAATTTTTAAGGTCACAAATTTGGTGGTTTATTTATTCGTTTCATGACTTTATCTACTAATATTCCACAAAATAGAGAACATGACTCGGTCCAAAGTCCAAATTATACGAGTGGTGAGGGGCATGATGGTCAAATAGAATTTATTTATTTTTGATAAATTTTCCCTCAACACGCCAGCAGCTGTACTCTTTGCCAAATGATACCTAACCCAAACATATCTAATTTAAAATAGACTCAATGGGTGCGGTTTGTATAGAGCCTAGGCTCCAGAGAATCAAATTAGAGCCTATCTTCAAATAATATCAAGAAATGTGGTTTTAATATTGGAAATCTTTTTGCTAGACTGTTAAAAAATGTGTTATAAAATATTCGATTTTCAAATTTTGAAATATATTATTTCTCATGTCCATATATGTTGATGTAGATATGATTAATTTAAAGATATTTGAGCATCAAAATCACTTCTTTTGGTGAAAATTTTGAGGTAAGCTCTTATTTGATTGTTTAGAGCGTCGGCTCTATATAAGCTTTTTCCTTTTTTTATCCAAGCCATTGAAAATTAGAAAAGGAAAAAAAAGGGTGAAGGGGGGCATATGATCCTCGATGACATTCGTCCCTCTCTAAAACGTTTTTTGTCTTGGGGGAAGTGAAAATATTAGGTTATCCTGCACGAGCATACCGTCATTTTGCTCCTATGCTAAGACCTTGGAATGTAAGCTCGTTTGCTACGAGGAAGGTTATTGTCCTGTCTTATCTCATTTATTTGGGGTTGGGTATATTAGTCTCGTTCCGTCTTTTCGTTTTATTAAGGGCCATTTCTTCAATTAAACCATAAGTCACTATTCATGACACATGACATAGAGGTGCCAAAACGTGTTTCTTATCTAACACAACCCTCTTCTTTTGTTCAGGCTTAAGGCCGATACATTATCCGCTTAGGAGGATCACCTTAAAAAAAAAAATGAAAAAAATCAAATTGCAGAGTCTATGGGCTTGAAAAAAATAGTTTAAAAAATAGCTTTGAATCAGGTACCATCTGAGTTTCGAAGAGAGGGCTGGACCAAATTATAGAAAAATCCAAATCCTTACTTAGTAATCGTGGAGTTCAAAATTCAGATAAAATTTTAGCAAAATTACAGAAGACCCCCAAGATTACACTTTTTATATAACTTACCCCCAACTTTACTTTTTCACTCACTTTTTTTCTCTAAAAAATTTTAGATAAATTATAAAAGACCTCCAAGACCACACTTTCTATATAACTTATCCCCAACCTTACTTTTTCTCGCACTTTTTTCTCCAAAAGAAATTTTCTACCTAAATACCACCAAGGGAAAAAGTTTATTTTTTAAGATGGAAGTGCCCTTCTCGTGAACAAAAATCAATTTGGTTAGATTTGATGTTGACTTTCGAACCCGATTAGCACATTGCCGGACCACACTTACATAGTGCTGGAGCGCTGTAATTCCAGAGTGTTCCACCGCCAAACTTCACTTACACAGTGTCAGAGCCTTGTGACTCCAGAGTGTTCCACTGTCGGACCGCACTTACACAGTGCCAGAGTGCTTGATCCATTATCGGACCGCACTTACATAGTGTCGGAGCCCTGTGACTCGAGAGTGTTTCACTGTTGGACCGCACTTGTACAGTGCCGGAACGCTTGATTCACTACCGAACCTCACTTACACAGTATCGGAGCCCTATGACTCAAGAGTGTTCCACTGTTGGATCATTCTTACGTAATGTCGGAACCCTGTGACTCCAAAGTGTTCTATTGCCAGAACGCACTTACGCAGAGCTGGAGCGCTGTGATTCCATAAACTCTTTCTTCTGGACCGCCCCTATATATTGCCGGACCGTTTCTCTCTTTCTATCCCTCAAGCCTTTTTCTTTTTTTTTGCTTTTGGGTGGTATTGCATGTTAGCTAATAATAAAAAGAACTGGAGTTATGAACTCTGGGGGCTTAAGCTGGGCCGAAGAAATTGATAGTTGTTTCATAAAGAGAGAGATCGGGCCCTAGATTCAAGGAAGGAGATAATAGAAGGGAGAAAGAGGGGGCAGCACTCGGACCAAAAAACCTCTGGAAGAGGGAGAGGGGAGAGAGCTCTACTGGGAGCGAGCGTAAGGAAGAGGGAGGGAGTCTGTGGACTGTGGGTCCTCTTGCCGTAATTATCTCGTGGAAGGGGAAAGAGAAGGGCATAGGAATAGGGTAATAGGTAAAAGGTAAAGTAAAGCAGGAGAGAGGTAAAAGATAAAATAAGAGTAGTTTTGTATTTTTAAAATTTTTAGGATGGTTGGGGGCATTTTGTCAAAAATGTTGTTTTGGTAAAAAAAACGTGAAAGTAAAAACGCTGGTGGGGAGTAAGTTGCATAACAAATATGCTACCGGGGGTTATATGTAAGTTTGGCTAAATATTTGTTCGAATAAATCTTCGGCCTGAGGGAGTTAGTATACAATACGATCCCGCATGCGCATTAGACGGTGGACATTGCTGTTATTCTGATCTAAAAAATGCAAAAAGAGGCCGTGGATTTTTAGCTTTTTTGTTTGGAGGGATTCCTCGGTTTTCAAGTTTCGCACACATTCCCTTCAAAATCTCGACTCATTCAACGCGCTTTCGCCATCCTCTCTCTCTTCCCTTCTTCAACTCTGGTAGAGAGCTTTTTGCAAATCAATGTAGCAGTCCACCTCGCATTCAATATGTAGCGGCGCGTATCTCTGTCTCCATGTCTTTGTCTCTCTGTTCCGCCATGTCTTTATCTCTCTTCTTCATCTGGTTCATCGCGCTCCCAGCCTTCCTAAACGCTCAATCCCCAGGTACAGTCTCTCTCTTGTGATGCTTTTCTCTGAATTGGGTTTTGGACTCTCTCTCTCTTGGGTTTTAAACTCTTTCTCTAGTTTCCTGTTCTTCTCAGAAGTGGGTTTTGGACTCTTTCCTTCTCTAGTTTCTTGCTTTTCTCAGAATCGGGCTCCCTCTCTCTCTCTCT